CTGGTGAGCCTGCCGCGGGGGTGGGGAGCACAGCTTCGACAGGGGGGCACGCCTGCACCGCGTCCCTGTGGCCGTGCCCGTGGCCGTGCCCATGCCCTCGTCCTGCCCGCAGTGGCTGCCGGGGGCTCAGTGCTGCCTGGGGGGGATCGGGGCTGCTCAGCCCACCCTGGAAGCGCCCTCGGGTTGCCCCACTGGGCAGCTTGTGGGGCACGAGTGGGGGGTCAAGGAGAGAAGGAGGTGCTGGCTCTGATCCCCCGAATCATCCCTGGGCAGCTGGCTTCTGGATTCACCCCAACTGCTGTGGAGCGATGGGCAGGAGAGACGGGGCAGCGGTGATGTTGCATCCCATCATGGTGAGCGCTGTAGCTGGAGATCCACCAGGATCCCAGCCTGGCTCCCGCCTGCCCTGCCTGCTGCCGAGGGCCCAGTCCGGTCAGAGTGCTCCAGGTGCTGCCGGCCCAGGACTCTGCAGCAGAGCTCCCTCTCGTCCCCAAGCAGCTGGAGTTGTAAAGGAGGGGGGGTTTGCTCCGTGAGGCAGGATGGCTGGGAGCCCCGATCTGATCGGTGCAAGAACAAGGAATTAGCCTGAGCGGCAATTTCCTGGTGAGTGTCACAGGGCATTAGCTGGGATGGAGCCCAGGGCGCGGGCGCCAACCCGGGCTGGGACCGGGGGGAGAAGGGCTGTGCACGGGCTGTGCCCCTTCCCACTCCTGCCCGCTGGGTGCCTGGGGCCTCGTGGCCGGCACGGTGACCTCATGCCATGCGGTGCTGCCACAAGGGACTGCAGCTCGCAGGGGCCCAGCTGAGCCTGAATCCACCAGCAGCTCCAGTGGGGCCAGCAGCTGGGACAGGAATAGGGGACACAGCTTGCCTGCACCCTAGGAGAGGCACCGACCCCGACAAGCAGTGGGAGATGGCCGCACGTGCAGCACCACCAGCTCCACCATCTCCCCTCGCCTCCCCACATCACATTGCCACCAGCCATGCGAGCGAGCCCTCTGGAGAGGACAAAAGCCACGTGCGAGGCAGCCATGCGACCACCACCGCGTCGGCCTGTGGCACCCCACACGCCGGCGGGCGAGGGGTCCTGTGCACCCACGGGAGTGGGGCCCATCTGGTGGCACCACACCAGGGCTGCTTTGCTCCCTTGCTGGCACTTCCCGGGTGCAGCCTGCAAATCTCTCCCCCAAATCGGTTTGATCCCAGGCTGTCGGCGGCCCCTCCCCACCCCCGCCCGCCGCCCGCTCCGGCGGTTACTTGCTCC